TAAAAAATATGGTAACTATATTGCTGTATTGTAAAATAATAAAATAATTAATAAACAATAAATTACAGCAACATCAAGGTACAAAAAATATAGTATAATAATATCACGGCCCTTTTGGCCCAACAGGTAAAAATAATTATATAAGTGCTCGGCCTATATGGCCAAACAGAAGGAAGGTATAATATAAAAATAATGTGTGGCCCTTATAGCCTAAAATAATAATTACACAGAACACAGATGTATAAATGATATTAATTAAATTAATTATTAATGTACGGCACTTATAGCCAACCGGAATAAATTATAATAAATAAGTAGTAACTATTTGAGCTGTTAGCTAATATAAGAATTATATAGTTGTTAATAATAAATAAAAAATAAAAGTATATAAAAGTATAACCTGGCCCTTCTGACTCAACAGAGGAACTTATATGAAATCACAATAATATAATATAAAAATGATATGTGGCCCTTCTGGCTGGTAATACTTGTATAATAATTAGAAAATATCTGTGGCCCTTATGGCTCACAAGATTTAAATGTATAATAAATAAATAATAATAAATAATGGCCCTTATGGCACAATAATAATTAAATAATAAAATAAATATATAAAACCTTACGGTTTGTGGAGCGCAGACTGGCCAGCTGCAGCTACCTAAAATCTATACCTTAAAATATAATATAAATAAAAAATACAATAATAATAATAGTGGCGATTAGCGCACACACAATAATGATATAATAAAATTTACAACATTCAGTGGCGATTCGCGCACACGTAAATGAATATAAAATAAATTAAAAAAAAAAACAATAAAAATAAGGATGATTTGCGCCCACAAAATATAATAAAAAACAATAAAAATAAGACTGGCAATTCGTGCCTATAACAAATTTTGTACAAAGAGAAAAAATGTTCGTAAACGCGCAACGGACAATTCACGAACGACGTGCAGAAAGCGACAAAAGTTGCGGCGGCCGTGTTAAAATTTACCCGCACCGGAGACGCAGATAACGCGCCGATAACGGGTAACGCGTTGGGACTTAATTAATTTAAATAATTCACACACAATTAATAACAAAAATAAATAAATCACAATACAGATAATTGTGCGTGTGTGTCGATAGGCTGTGATATACTCGGGTCGTCGACCGGCCGCTATTTTACGGCGGCAACAATGTGTGTTAATATTTTTAAATTAATCTACACAAATATTCAGCTGTAATTCACCAACTCATACGTGACTATCGTTTATTTTAAAACTTCGGGCACACAGAATGCGGTCTTTCGCTGCAGTCATCGATCTAGTGACGCCACACATCATGCGTTTGTTTCATAAGTGGTCTAGTAGGTATAAACAAAATATTTTTCACAGTTACGATGTCCGCTTGTGTTTATAGTTATACGTGACGAACAGGGATATAGTCCTAAAATTATTTGTGAGTATGCTAAATATGAGGCTGCTTTAGGGGGGCTTTTATCATCAATCCCTCCCCTCCATTACTGTTCTATTATATAAAATATCAATAATAAATTTTACTAACTTCAACAGTGTAATTAATATTATTATAAAATGTATTTGTTTACCAAATAGTAAATACATATTAAAAACTTATAAATTAAGGTTATAGAATATTCCATAATTTTTGTTTTAAACTTCCTTTTTCATTTATATTTATTTTTCTGGATCTATTGTCATCAGCCATTCTATGGTGTAAAATCCAACTTTTAACATAGTCTTCAGGGTTCCATATACTCAATGGTGGACCATTAATGTCAATCATCATCAAATTTGAAATATTATGAATTGTCAATCTTGAGCGTATGTCAGTGCAAATAATATTCATTAAGCTAAATCCACGTTCACATTTTGCTGTAGATAATGGGATCGTTTTTATCAAATTATTTATTTCATTTAATTCTTCAATTTTATTGGTTTCTTCGTTGATTAATATTCTTAATTCTCTTATTGTTTTTTCTTGATTTAAAAGAAATCTGTTACAAAGTCATTTTACTTCTTGTTCACCAAAAAGAATATTTACATCAGCTGGCCATGTTTTTTTATCTAAAATTTGAATATCTTATTTAATTATTTTATCTTCTTCATTATTATCTAATAGTCTCATGTTTAAATTGTTAATAATACTTATAATAAATTGGTTTTTATTGATACATACTAATATAATATTATTACATAAAGGGATATCTGTAAACATCATTTGTTCTATAGCCTTGACTGCTTCAGCATAATAATCACCATTGATAGTTTTTAAAGAATCAATTATTCTAATAGTTCTTTTAATTTTTTTGTCAGCTTGTATCAAAGTTGCATCGTGACTTTGCAAATCTAAAGACAGTTGAGATAATTCAGACAACACATCACACATAAGTGCCAAGTCTGAAAGAAATTGCAAGCTTTCCAACCGTTTACAAAAACCTTTATACTTAGATCTAGTTTTTTGATCATGATATTTATCCTCAGAAGCTTCTTTAAAGTGTTTGTATAAAGCTGGATACATCTTCCAAACTACTTTTACGGTTCTATAGCTGCTAGCAACTTAACGAACATCGAGTACTCGACCAATTTTTAAAAATATTTCATTTAAACTTACACAATGCAATTTTAGTTCATTTTGGTTCTTAGTTGATCGACTATACAAAGAATATAATATGTCCAGAAAATATTTGAAATGATACGTTGCTGTAATATCTTTTAACACATCATTAACTGCCAATTCTAACCTATGGTTAATGCAATGCCAACTAAATATTATTGGAAATTTTTTTTAAACGTGCAGTAACTCCAATAGTTTTTCCTAAAAGAACACTGGCTCTATCTGTGACAAATTATATCCAATGTTCTTTTAAGTAAATATCAGTAAATCCATGTTGATGTAAACATTCAAGTAGTTGGTCTATGATGTTTATAGATGTTTGACATTTCAATTCAATTAAATCCAAAAATATAAAAACAGGTTAATCATATGATATGAAGGCTTTGAGATAAATAATCATACCAGATGATTAACTATTTGTTATTGATTCATCTATTAATATAGAAATCTTTGAATTGATTTCTATAATATTTTGAACAATTTTATTTCTTATTTTAGTAGCTATATGATCAATAGAAGTACTTGAATATCTCGAATGTAATGTTTGGCCAAATAAAATCCCATTTTTTTGTCGTAATTTAACAAGATCTGAATGGTCATCAAATGGTCGGTTATTTTTTGAAATAAAATAAACGGTGCGAAATATTTTTATTGTAAATTGATAATGTTTAGAAGTTGAAGTTTCAAATGATTTACTTAATTTACTATGTGTTTTTTCTTTTGAAATATTTAAAGCAAAGTTGTGTGCTTTAGATCTATTGTGTCTTGATATTTTATATCTTAAAATACTTAAAAGAGTAACTAATTTTGAATTGGTACCACCATCAACGTTTATTTGACTCCATTCAGTTGAGATTTCAACACCTTGACTTATACATGTTTTCAATTCACCAACATTTTTACAATACAAACATCCAATTTTACCATTATCACAAATGAGCCAGGGATCTATCTTTCTATCTTTTTTCTGAATCCATTGATTGAAAGTCCATTCAGAAGGCTAAAGATGTACTTCATTAAATGGATTTGTGTTAGAATTTTTCTCTGAAAAATTATTAATTATTTGAGTTGTTTCTGATCCTAAAATTTTATAATAAAAATCATCATTCAAATACTGATATTTTCTAAATAATTATATTAAAAGTATTGAACAATTATTACCAATTTTTAAATTTTAGATAGTGTCTTAGACGATGTATATCATTGTCATGTATATCATGAAAAAAAATAAAACAAAAAAAAAAATTTAATTACTTTAACTTTTTTATTTTTAAATTAAATTTAAATAAATAACTTTTTAGTCTAATATAAATCAATGTAGTAAGCCCAATGCTAAGCATAATTTAATGATCCGATATAATTTAGTATAAGTGTTAATAAATATGCTTACGCGCAGGAAATCCAGGGAAAGGGTGAAAACAACTAGTAGTTTTAATAAATATGCCTATTCGTAGGAAATCCAGAGCAAAGGTGAAAACAACAAGTAGTTTTCACCTCTTAAACTAATAATGCTAAATCGACAATAAAAGGAAGTAATGCTAAAATTACGCCACTTTTACGTCATTGAAACTTGTATAAATACGGGTTGAGCATTTAGCATTAATCAGAAGTAGATAGGTAGTTCTGATAAACAGTATTAGACTGGTCATTATTCTTTTAAATAAATTATTACTCGTCATGAACATTGTTACAGCTACATTGCCGCGAGTACATAATTCTTTACCCAGAATAAACTGTTCTTTATTTTTGTTTCAACTGCATAGGCGTAAATCACCCAAAAACATTAGGGGGGCTTAAGCACCAACAATGTTTGAGAAAACAGACCAAATTCGTGAGGGGCTTTGCTCCTCATACACTCTAATAGTACTATATCATATATTATATAAATAAAAATATAAAATACAAATCAAACAAATACAACAAAACATTTTATATAAAAGATATATATATTTTTTTTATTATTTATAAACTTAGCCTAATACTGATTGAAGGAACATACCTTAAGTTCCTTGTCTGTATTCGACGTTTTTTTGTTGAAATATGAAAATAACGTATTCATTTTTTTTTTTTTTTTTTTAATGTATATATTTATGTTTATTTAATTTATACAAATGTTGTGTACACTGTGCAATAATAATATAATTATAATTTTAATAGCAAAAAAAAATAAAGCAGACTCGTGGTTGGGCAGTGGCGTACACAGCAATTTTCAGTGGGGGGGGGGGGGGGGGGTTCATAGAAAAACAAAAACATATTACCTAATACTGAGCTGTAATAGTTGATACTAAAAGCTCTAAAAAAAAAAAAAATATTATCTAGTAGAAAACAAAAATTCTTAAAAAATGCATTTTATTATAAATTATAAACTTATAAAATAATTTCTAATTTTCTTGTTTTCGTCCCAACTCATCAATAACCTCTTCGGCTGTTAAGGGCATTCCACAATATATTGACAACATGGTCAGTCCATTCAATCTGTCCTATGAAACTAAAATTTTTTCAAGTTTAGAGTAAAAATAAAGTATAAAAATATTTACCTCTTTCATTGTATTTCTCAAATAAGTTTTCACTCTTTTTAAATTTGAAAACATTCTTTCTGGGGTAGCTGTTGATATTGGCAGTGTAGATAATATTTTTAATAACATGTGAATAATCGGAAAAACAATTAAATTATATAACCTTAATGCATCGATTACATTTGATGGTTTTTCGTTTAAACGAGCTAGTTTTAACTTCCACATTTTTAGTTCATTATGGGCAGAAGACATAACAGTAGAAGGTGATAAGTAGAATGAAACGAGAGATTCAAAACCTGTTTTATTAGAATCTTCGATTTCAGCAAATAAACAATGAAAACCTGAATAACATAAAATACATTTTTAGTTTGATACTATGATAAAATACTGACAAGAATATTAAGTCTTTAATAGTATTAAAAATAAATAGTAAAAATTATTAGAAACCTTTAAAAATATTATGGTGCTCTAGGAATCTAATTTCTAGTTGGTTTATAAATGACTCAATATAAGGAATGCAAATTATAATTCTGAAATAATCTTCTGGTTTTTCTATAGATATTGGTGGATTAGCACGGTAGATTTGCCTTTCATTTAATCTTTTAACAACAATTTTAAAATCTAAAACTTCTGCCATTTTCTAAAAAAATTAAGTAAATATATTCTGCAATTATATATATATATATATATATAAGAAACAAAATAATGGATTTAATCTATTAATGAAAATTATGTCGGTATAAAAATTAAGTAATATTGTGTATTTACTTGAGCCTCAATGAACATTTTTTCAAACTAGGTTTCAATGTTTGTTCTTAATTGTTTAAGTGCATTCACATTATCTTCAGCTAAACCAATCATTTCTTTTAAATCAATATCTATTCTTTACAATTGCCTACATAATGGCAGTCCAAATGAAAATAATACCTTGTCAAAAACAAACAAATATTTAAGTTTGACTACTAATCTAACTAAATAGTAAATTTTATGATTTTTAAATCATAAAATTTAAACATTTGAATTTTGATTACCTTTATAATAGTTACCGATACAAGAAATTCTGAGTCCATTGCATTCTTTAACATATTGGCATCAATGGCAGTTCCATCTCTCCATTTAGCCATATTATTTAATGAGGTTACAATGTATGAAAATAACTGAACAAAATCGTTAACAGAATAGTATCTTTGGATCCATCTTGTAGCACACAATTTTTTTAATGTTTTTACACTTGGTGTTAAATCACTATTATCAATGCATTCCTACGTTTAGGTGTATTGAAAAAACAGTACATCTTTTCGATAACTCCAAGGCAATTTCGAATGGGTCGCAAATCACATGCAGAAGAAACTGCTAAATTCAAAGAATGTGCAACACAGTGCACGTATAACGCTTTTGGGTACTTAGTTTGTATTATAGATTTAACTCCTTTAAATTGTCCAGACATGTTCGCTGCACCGTCATACCCTTGGCCATACAAAAGTCACAGTTTATACCACTCACGTTCAAACCTGAAAAACTATAATCGTTTGAAATTTAATAATATAGGTACAGAAATGTCCAGTCAATAACATAATATGTAAATATTATTTACTAAAAACTGTAATATTAATATTTATAATACCATTAAGAATTGCAAATGCTAAATCTACTCCGGTCAAACTAAGAATTTCAACAAACTTAATAAATTCTTCATTAATTTGTATGTCATTCCCAGTTCCACTTAAGTACCTCATACATATTGTAAGTTGTTCGCATATAGAAATGTCAGTAGTTTCGCCGGCCAAGACTGAGAAACATTTTGATAAATTTATTTTTTCAACAATTTTTTTTGATAATATATCACCACATATATTAATGATTTCATTTTGAATCCTTGGGCTCAAATATTTATTGCGCGAATCTGATTCTAAAAATTACCTCATACATTCATTATTTTTAGCTTTATATTTTAATATTTCCCGAAAATTGCCCTCATTTTTAACAGATTCTGCTATATATTATAATAAAAATATATAAATTAACTAATAAAAACAAAATATTTTAATTTATATTATTTTTAACTTACTGCAAAAATTAATTGGGCCGAAATCTCTATGTCCACGCAGGACGATTTCTTGTTTGTCACACAAAATAATACAATCTACTATGAGAATAAGTCTTTTTCTATTAGCCATTATCTGTTTTAATCTGTAAAATAAATTAATTTGTATTATATTTATATACATATATTAAATTCCTATTATTTCAACTGATTTTAACGTATCATATAAAAATCATAATATAATTATTAGTATATTCTAGGTAGGTACTACTGGTTCTAGATATCTTAATAAGTTATTCATAATTTTTACCTATCATCATCCAAAGCATGCACAATTGATTTTTGCTTCTTTAAATAAATATCTAAAAAACATTCAGTTTTCATAACAGCAGATTTATGGTATTCCAACATTGAATGTTTATTAAAAACCTGTTAATATAATAAATACAATTAAAAAAAGTCGATAGTTGATTACATAGATATTATGTCAATGGTTAACTACCTAATTAATTAAAAATAAATAATTAATATGATATTGTAAATATCATTATTCTATTATAATTGTATCATAAAAATAATTATTCAAATTACTTCTTTAGCATTTTTCCAATTGTCAAATTTCTGTGATGAAAGAAAACCTAATTTTTGACTCCCTACACCACCATATTTCGCAAACACCACACAAAATTTACAAAATGCTCCTCCTTTTATTTCTGAGTATAATAACCAATTATATATGGTTAGCCAGTGATGTTGAAACTTTAATTTTTTTACTTTATTAGATTCAAGTATAGGAAATTAATAAGTTACAGGCGGAATCCATGCGTTTGTAAGAACCTAGCAAATTAACGATTAAAACCCAATAAAATATAGTGGACAATTAAAATTTTACTTGATGTTTTTCATTATCAGTTAAATTTCTATCCAATTTCACAAACATGCCGACGTCATTTTCTCGAGAAATAACAATATCCGATGAAGCTATGGGAATACCTAAAATGTTTAAAAATCATTAATAATTAGATACACATTTTTTGTACACATGCATTACTTGACTCAGCATTAAGTGTTGTTATAGCAGGAATGTGATTTTCATTCACATTCTGATCAATGCTTTTTTTCTTATTTGAATCAGATGAAAAATAATCATTTATTCTTTTCATTGTTTTTCGTTATTTAAACAAATTAAGTAATAATTAATATAACAGAAAAAACATAAAATAACCGTCAGAGTTTATTGTTTAGCGTCAGTGATATAACAGGCACAAAATACTAAATAGACTAAATATAATACTATGGATGATCATAATTATTATTGCTACGACGCCCCAATAACAGACAAATACAATGTAATCTAAATATAGTTGGGTTTGTTTTAAGCAATCACGAGTCGGTCGGCAATCTAAGATTAAACCATTTCTCAACAGTAACATCTATTTTATAATGCTACTATATTTCAATATACAAGTATAAATATAAAATATTTGATATTTTGTGTTTATACATTTATACATATGTATATGTATAATGAATGTTATATCGTCGTAATATTAATTTTAAATATTGGCTATTTTCGCAGTTTTAATAAAGGATCTTAAAAAATCAATGGGGGGGTTTGAACACCCAAACCCCCCCAATATGTATGCCACTGTGGTTGGGTAATGCCATGATTAGAACCGTTCTAGTATTATGATTTATAATACCCAATAGTAAGAACTATTTATAATTTATAATCCATGATATTGTATTTATATTTGTAATAACTAATAATTGATATTTTATAAAATTATATATATATTATAGTGACGGTCGGCAGGACGGAATGCAATTAGGCTACAAAATTATTTTAATCCTATTTTATGGAATTACCTAATGCGGGTCTAATTAAATAAAACTATATAGTGTCGTTGCGGTCGGTCTGCGTAGATTGTAGATACACCGAATTTTATTATTTACATACCTATAATATACCTATATATTTAAAAATTTATTATTTTCCGTTAATATCATAATTTCACAACAATTATTATGATATTATATAATATGTTTTATATGTCATTGCAGTTTAATATATCCAGACGTAAACTCGACATATTATATTATAAATAATTAAATAAATATAAAACTGTTTTTGAATTTTTAATAAATGTAATTATTATGGAAATATGATGGTAATAGTACTATAAGTTATAATCACGGGATTCGGGGTGCTAGCATTAAAATTCAGGGTGCTAAGCACCCTTAGCACCCCTGCGATTTGCGCCTATGTTCAACTGTTTATTATTTTTCTTGTGGTAAATTAATAAAAACAGTAATTTTTATAAGTGTTAATATACAAATGTTTAATTATTTAAAATACCTATCTCTCTCATCATTACATCTCAAGATAACAACGAACGTGCTACGTCGTTAAATAATTAATTTGGTACCGATCGTAGTGTCCTGCACAACGATCTCTACATCGGCTAGATCGATCTATCGATCGTTATAATCACGCATCCCTAGTAATGCTCTAAACATGCATTGTCTATAATAAATAAATTTTTAATTTCCCATTTATAATATTCATTTAAATCATGTACTCAAATAATTTATAATCGGAAACAAAAATTAATCCGTAACTTCTTGGATTTCAAATTCAAAATGCAACATTCCAGGACTTATTCTAAGGATTTTTACCTACTGCCCAAATATACTGAAAAGTTTGTTTTATGAAATTTAATTGGATTATAATACTTACCCTCTTCTCAAATAAATTGTATATTAATATTTGAGAATTTTGACTATCGAGTGGTAAAATATTAAAAAAATAAGAATTTTTTCCGTTATACGTTTTATTTCTGTGTATGGTTAGTATTAACTAACCGTTAGTATTACGGTTTGTGTTATTGGTTATATGAACTATACGGTCTGTAATATTGGTAATCGTTTGTAGTTTGTGATTTGTAATCTTTTGAAGTCTTGAGAACATACTTGAAAACAAATTAAAAATTGATGTTAAATGTTAAAAACAATTAAATCGTAACGCGTTCACCGATAATTACACGTACGCGTAAATTATTTAAAGTGACGACAGTGTTGTTTACACGTACATTTATTTAAGGATATTTTATTATGTAGAAGTTATTTTTTTCTGCATAAGAGCAAAAAATTAAATTTAGCATAGAGACGGAAAATTTTTAAATCCACCCCCGGCGGCAACATTAACACATAACATACGTCAAGACGTGACGAGTGCAATATTGTTGGATTATTATTTATTTTATTTTTTTTTATTATATTATAGATATGATCAAACTAATGATAAGTTAAGGAACAACGTATAAAATTCCCCTTCGAGAGTTCTTGATTTTCAAGCATTATGTACCCGTTTTCTTTTCTTTTCTTGTTGGTTTCTACAATTATTTTCTTCTTCTTCTAACGCTAGAGCAATAACTCCAAAATCATTGTTAGTAAAATTTTTTTACATTGTCTACACAACTTATGTAGGTAGTTAAAATATTAAAACAGACTGAAACATCTTTCAAACGTCAGTAGAAAAACGGATGAGCTACGGGCAAGTGTGGTGTCTATACGGACGAGCCGTGACACGGCCAAGTTACGGCCGACACACGAACCAGGTACGGTGTGATAAAATGTGTCTCGACCTTAACGCGAACACACTGTCGCTGATTACAAGTTACAAGTATAACACTGATAAAATAACGATGCTAATTATTTTAATTTTATTTATGTTGAATTTTTCAAACATTAAAGATTGACGATAAATTGTATTAAAATATTAATAGTTATTATATATTGGCCGAGTATTATCAATGTACAAACGTTGACACTATTTGGTTTCGTTAATATTGAATTTACTGAATAATATATTTTACTTACGGTTTTTTTACTATCATTAATTATTCCATACTTGTGTGCAATAGACCTGACATTACAATCTAACTACAGATATTTTTGAGGGATTTTATACGTACAATACTTGTCTGTTATGCACGACAAGCTAGTATAATTGTAATAATTATATTGTAAATAATATCATAAACTCAAATTGAAATGTACTTTAACTTGAACACAAAAAATACGGTTAATATTCATAAATATTAAACGTATATTATCAAAAACCGGCAACAAAATAAATATTAAAAAAAATATTTTTCGCATTCGAATAATTAAATTAACAGTTATTTTTAAGGAACTGTAGCCTGGCGAATTATTGATTATTTAATATCGCAAAGAAGAGCTACTCCCCTCAATATCCAGTGAGTTGGAGAAATGTCTTGCGGCGTGTTCAGCCGTAGTTCACACACGTACGTTAATCCGGTTCTCTTTGGTTTTTTATACACTGGACATCGATATCCAACAACGGCTCTATTTTTTAACAAATTTGTCGCGTATATGTGTACGACGGGCATTTCAGTGTACATGATCTTATGCAAGGATTCCTGGAGTTCTTGAGCTTTTCTGTCCCAACCCGCTCCTTCCAAAAACAGTCCGTACACATAGACCCCTTCCTGTATTGAAATCAAAATAAAATAAGAAATTCTTTCAAATCCGTAGGGTGAGGAAACACAAATACATTGTAGTGCATCTGAAATTTATGCTATCGCTGTATCGTAACATGAATTTAAGAAAAATATTTACCAATGGTGATTTTTTTATGTCAAATCTATTACAAGTCGTGACTTTGTTTTCGAGCAAAATGTTGTCCAGAGTCCAGCCTTCATGAGCCCTAGATATTTCCTGTTTCATTGCCGTCAAAAACCCTTGAGGATTGAAAAAACCGGTCATCCAAAACAGATTCGGCTTTTCATTAAATACCCACAAATATATCTGACTGTGGCGATTCAGCAATTCGTTGTACCAAAAACCTATTGTCGATGACGTCCATGAAATCTTTAACCAGTGCATCGGGATTCGACCGTCATATAAGTAATTCAAAGTCTCGGTCAAAACCTGTCAACGTATTGTGTCGTGCGAATATCATAATAAATTCATAACTTTACGATAGATTATTTCAATTATAAAATTAATAAAAAGACAAATTAAGATTAGGTTAAAGTAAATAAATACAATATATGTATTAACGCAATCGTTTATTACTTCATTCATTATGATAATTCCGTTAATCGCCAATAAAAGATCCTCTAGAGTACTTTTTACCAATTCAATAACTTTTTGAATACGATCGATTTCTTGGCCTAAGAATATATTCATTGGTTCTGTCGCACCCATCAACATCAATCTAAAACAAGTTAAAAAATAATGACTTGTAAGAAAATATAATTTTTTTTCCACTATTATAAAACCTTTCTTTGAGTTCAAACATATTAAAAAGAAGTGGTAGTTTATCTAATAGTTCAGTGGCCGTGTTATATACTATTTCTTCTCTTGTCACATCACTTCCACCACTAGACCCTTTCGGCTGGATTAATATTATTGTGTCAAACATTTCTTGGACCATATTTGTTTGATACCTAAGTATGAGTGTATAATAATTATGTATAAGTAATGTTTATACTTTATAGATGTTGAAAATTGTTTTAATTAACATTTCAAGCTTACGTAATATCAGTGTTTGGATGAAGTCCACACGATTGTGGTGGATCCTTGTGTGGCATTTCTTCGATCGCGGATAGATACTCTGATAATTGATCATAATTCAATACGTCGTACCCTTTATAAAAACAAAAGTTTTGGGAAAACAGGTTATCGGTAAACCAAAGTTCTGTAAAATTGTATAACAATCGTCGATCATAGTCATCGGTCACACGGCCACCGTAATGTACTTCGGCCAACATGTATCTATAAAACCGTTGTAATTATGATTTTTGTATTAATATATAAATGTATACTATTATAATATAACATAAAAATTACTATCTATAATATTTATTATCATACCTTAAGGCGATCCAGTCGAATGTGGAGTTAATGTTCATGTCATCAACCATCTTTTGTAAGTACAAAGACGAGGAGTACCAATCCGATGTATTAAACTCGTACGGTATGTTCCACCCGATGGGTCCAAACTTTCTGCGCTCTTGTACGACTGAATGCAAAAAAGAAATCGCATAAAGTATGGGTCTATACTGGGGTAGACTAGTATAATTCAACATGTCTTCTCCCATATTGTTATACGTTCTCTTTAACCCTGCTCTTAAACCTGAACAAAAAAAATGTTATGTTAGTGCATTAAGATAAGAATATAGTAGTTTAGAATATATAACGTGTATAATTGAATTAATAATTTATGTTGAAACTACATTTTAAGTTTAATTTTTAATTTTAGTTTTACCTTCTGGAGGTTCGTATGTATAATGAATAGATATTTGTAGAAGTGATATCGAGAATTTTGGATGAACTTCTGTAGTTATCCAAATTCTAAAATTATCTTGGTTACTCGTAGACACGTTTGTATTTATATATATGAACGTTTCTTGCATGAAGTCCAAACACAAATGACAATTTTGAAGTAATACCCATCCTCCCTAAAAGAACATTATTATTTTAATCTTTTGTTTTAAAAATTAACCTAATCACACGATGCTAGGTACTTACATTGTCCGCACAGTGTTTCATTAGCTTCTCGGCATGTATTTCTTGACCTTGACCCATTGATACAGAATGGAACGGAATTTCCATTTTTTTCGCAGTGTTCTCAATGAGAATACTAGGATCCGATCCCATGCTTAGAAAACAAATGAGTGGTGTAGTACTTTTTGATTCTATGTACATTTCTTCGATGTCAAACATCACAACTTCAACAAATTTCGGTCCCAGCGAATTTTCAACGTATTGGAAAGCTTGGTTCAACGTTCTGTCTGGACACCACGCCCTAATTATCAATAGCTTTTCGAATACACTGAGCATCTCTAATCCGTTGGGCATGATTTCTTTTTCTGGTTTACTTTTTTCGTACCATCTTTTCCACGCGTTACCATTTTTTTCTATAATATTCAAAATGTCCTCGAATTTTGAAAATTTTTGCAACATATTTAAATTCATCCAAGAAATATCAGTCAGCCAATCAAAAGGCTTGGGCCTGATGGAATCTATATCAATCGAAGCGCCACCTTTAATTATAAATTCAAACTGACTTCTCGTGATATTCCCCATGTTAAGGTCTACTTTTAAAGCCACGAGAATTGTAAAAAGTGTTTTGTGTACCTCGTATAAACCACGGCACTTATATTTAAATACGGCGTATGTTAAGTATTCAATGATGTATTTTATCCTACGGTCGAGTGAAATAGAAACGTTAGAGTTTGCTAATGACAAATCAAATTGTTCTAAAAACTGTTGTAATGAATTTTGGTACATAGGATTGACCATTGCCATTTCTACGATTAAAAAATATAGAACAGATCCTCGAGTGGCTATTGAACGATAATTTTCACGCATTACACTGATGGAAGCTTGTGTTTTTCCTGCAACTTCTAATTTTTTATTAACGTCCAAAGCCGTGTCTTTCGTTTTATTCAATGTGTACAGTACCGACTCGTCGTCAACCAAAGACCCTTTTACAGTTGTTAACTTAACTAGAAGATCATGTTCTAATTTTTGCATTTTGCGTTTTTGAGAAGTCACTTCTGCGATCAATTCTATACGCTCTTGTTCTAATTCTTTTTTCTCAGTTTCGATCACTCTACTCAATAATTGATCTTCTAAACCTTTCATAGTGACAGTAAAATCGATGACTGCACATCGAGCATAGAGCTCCGGTGGATACGATGGATTACCAAGTTTTGATGTTAGATACAGACGAAAATTATGACTTACGTCAATTTCTTTATCCCCTAACAGTACTTTCAAACTTTTGCCCAATTTATAATAGTTTTTTTCTAATACATTGTTTATGACTGGATCAACATCTTGTAATATATCTTGAATTAGTAATGGTTTGCCCAATGATATACAGTCTTCCAGATAATTTCTAAAGTATTTGTCGTCAAATGAAGTAATAACCATGTTATTTATTAATTCTTTATTTTTAATCCAAGTTATCCCTTGACTCTGTGGATCAATCATTATTGGGAACTTTGATGATTTTGTAACAATTATACCATTCTGAATTGATAGTTCGTCATTTGGCAGTCCCTGTAGATTCCATTCGCTAATTGTTGGTGGATCGGCCAATTTTTCAGTTATGTTTAAAACAGGCGAGTTCGGTATACTCTTCTTATTTAGTTCCTGATACCATGATTTTAGTATATTTGTTCTATATTCTTGATTAAAAGGTCCAGAATACGATAAAAACCCTGTCAGTATAACGATGTCTCCTAAAGAATATTTAATATCTAAATTAAATCCAGCCAATTGTTGTGTCCATCTCTTTCTTTCTTCTTCTAAGCCCTCAATAAGTGCAGTTGCTGATTCCATTTTATATTTGCATCTGTTAGCTTCAGTTTGAACTGATTGTTGAGCACTTAAAGCTACATGTAATTTTCGTTTCGCCTCTAATAATTCCTTATTCTTTTCATAAGCAATGGCCTCTGCATTTGCTAGCTGTTCTTTTGCATGACTATGTTTAGCTTCTTGTTGAGCAAGATTAGTTTTCAACGGGAGCACTTCTTTGTTAACTTTATAGAAATCGATCATAGCTATTGTCCAACTAAGAAGCCCAGCAACATTCCCACAAGCAGATTTGGCTTTTTCGAATGTGTAGTCTCTATAATTGAAGTATGGTTGCAATAAATCCATTGATTCTCCATTGATTTGATCTTTTGGAAAATGTTGAAGGTTATGTAAAAATTTAGTTTCAGATATTAGCTAAAACAAAATATTAGTATTAACAATTTCAATTTTAACATGATTTTGAGTTGAAAATACTTTTAAAGAATCGCTCCAAGATGGTTCTAAAAATAATTTATCAGAGTCTGGAATAACTTTCTGAATCTTCTTTTGAAAAAGTATGAGTACAGAATCCATTATCAATGTAATCAAGTATGGTGGCTTGCCTAATTTCCTTACTGTGGCTATGTCAGTTGCATTTATCGTCTAATAATTAAATATATATTATGTAATTTAAAAAAATCATTTAGTTTTTCATTATTTTAAAATTGATTTTGAATATTTGTATTTTTTACTTATATATTCATATAAACGAAGAAAAAATTTATTACAAAAAGTACAAAAATAAATTTTGTTATCGACTATAATTATGCATGATAATAAGGCATACCAACAAAGCAGCTTCTGCTGCGTCTAAAGCTGGTTGAGCTTTAGCAAGTTTCATTTCGGCAATTTTTTTTTCTTTTGAAATTATTTTTAGTAATTTCTCAGCTCGATCTTTTACAACAACGACCTCTGCTTTACTAATTTCTGCAGCTTTTACTACTATATTAACCTTGGTCGTTACCTGAAAACAAATGTATAATATATGTGTAAATAATCTAAATAAAAAAATAAAATATCGTTAATACATACTTCTGTACTAGCAGCTGTTGCAATAAGAATTTCTTTATCTTTTACTATCAATTCCTTTTTTAACCTTTCAACTTGTATTGATGCGTCTGCAAGTTTTTCTAATCCTAATATTCTTTGAATTTTCATTTCTTCGATATCTTGTTTATTTTCCATGTATAAATGTTTATAGCCATTTACAAACAAAAGGAATGATTTGGGTGTAACAAATATTTGTCGGCGAAACCTGATAGAAATCATACTTATATTTATAAATAAATATTTCAATGATCCCCTATTTAGCATTTTATTATATCATCTAATAATCTACAGCGTAATAAAACATAATTAACTTGATTTTAATTTTTTGCGTATCTATAGAAAGTTTATACTTAATGACATACCTTTGAAAATAACTTGTACAATCTTTTGCGACATTATCGTGTATTTCACCTAATAATTGTATGATTGAATTTTTCTCTTCTACTGTACTATCCATAGGAAAGTCATTTAGAAAATGACTGGAAACTGCTAGTAAAGCATCCGATGGCCACAATGTATACCAATCGATTATACAACCTGATATTATTCCAGGAAACTTTAACGAACGTAAACGGAAGCTCTCACCGATCTGTATTACAAATAAATTTAGCTATTTGTTTGTTTAGAATTTCAGTTATAACTAGAGATTATTACCGGTGAAAAGCATAAAACCAAATGCAGATTACTCATAGCTTGTTTAATGAAAAAATCATATAAGTTTTCCATTGTTGGATTTCCTTTAGGGTACTTCTTTTTGAAATTTGGTGTTAAATTGTTTAACATTTCTTCTAACTCATCCTTGGAGAATAAGCTTGCTACTTCTCCTGAACTTAATATGTTATTAATATACTCTAGAAATGCTTCTTCTTTGATATCATTGTCGGTAAAAACAAATGTAGTTTTTAAACCTTCCAAACCAGCACGTTTATAGAGTAATCTTATGTCGTCCAAAAAATTATTTATGCCGTAAGATCTATAAATTACACCATTAAAAATTAACATTTCTAAATTTGAAATGCATATCAAAACATTATCATTTTGGAATATGGTAAATAATAGATTATATTTAATTATATATATTTTAGTATGGATACCTACCTTGTTAGGAAAATTGAATGCTGAAAATAACCAGCAATGAATGACGCTAAAGTAGTAACTGATCTTCGGCCAGAACCTCCAACACCAACAAGCAAACCGTTCCCACGTGGTATTCTTAATATACGGGATATGATAGTGAGATGAATCATACAGTCTCTGAAGAAAACTAAATCCATTGAAGAACCATGTGTTGCCTCGTTCATTTGATACATGTACATTAACATTCTACTTTTTAATACTTCAAAACTAAAATATAAAATATTTATTGAAATAATTTAAAATTTAAACTTTACATTAATTTTTTGTACATGTAAATTATTCACTTTACGGTGATTTATTTCTTACGTTAGTTATATTTTAAAATTAAAATTTTTTCTCTTCAATATATAAAGCTTTAAAACTTTTATTGTATTTTGAATAAAAATATTTAAATTAAATTCATACTCATCGATATGTTCATATATTTTAGGATTTTCAGATATATAATCATCAGGCTCATCACCGGTTGCTTCGGTTACATCACGCATAAAATCTACAAACACATTTGTGCTCATATCATCCGGGAATAATTGAAATATTTCTGGTATCAGAAAATCTCCTGCGCTGATTTTGACAGTTTCTGTGAACCAATTTTTGTCCATAGTACTCGTAAGCTTATCGAGTATCACCCGCTGTATTTCATGACACCATAATTTTAATAAGGTAGCATTGTTTGGACACTCTTCTGTACATATCTGTAACATTCCTTCCCAAATTCGTGATAAATCTCTTAAGTTGAAAACGTAATGGAAATTAGCTGGAGTTGGTAATAATTTTTGTTTGGTCTTCTGCCACACAATTCGAGTTAATGTCACCAACGATGGAACAAGTGCAACTATCTCTTGGTTAAAACGTTCAATACAAAAATATCCACATCCTAAAGCACCGAATATTTTGTCCATGGACGAGTTTGATGGTAATGTACAGTTAAATATGCAGAACTGTCTCTTTAGTCTGGGCGGTATGTCGTTCCGACCACCTCCTGGATGAATCATGGCGCCGAGCATATTGATTCCAACAATATTAAAATAATCTCCTGGTTTTGTTAATGAATAGAAACCTTTATTTTCTAAAAGTTGACGCGTTATTTCGTTGGTAACCTAAGCCAGAAATATTTTTTTTAATTAAAATGATATAATGAAACATGTCTCATTTGTACTTTAATATTCACGTTATAATAATACCACATTAGTACATTAAAAATTAAAATAATTAGTAATTTGTTTAAATCAATACAGAGTTTTATTACTTGCATATATTTAAAAGTAGTGTAGAATTATTACATGAAATGAAAAAAAATTTGAATTTATTTAAAAAATGTGTAAGTCATTGAAAAAATAATTTCCACGTGGTTATAATTTGAACCAGGAAAGAAGAATTTCACCAAAATTAGATTCGTATAATATCTCAGGAAGGAATTTGAGGTTAATTCTTTATCAAAATCAGTCATAATTTACAATTAATAATTACCACATCTCATACAATTAAATACACTTTTAAGTTACAATAAATAATTATAAATAATGACATTAGTATTAAGTCACTATTACTATAAGTTAATAATTGAATTAATTTACAAATATAGTGTAAAATATTTACTTGATCTCCCCAGTCATTAATTATAGGCATATTTATATCGTCGATGAATATTGTCATTTTGCGATTACCCGGAGCACCATAAGTGGTACTGAATCGTTTCTCTACATAACTTTCAATAGTATTCTAAGGATTTACCATAATTACCATTAGTATAGATAAAATAACCATACAAACTATATTGTTTATCTCACCTGAAACATATTCGGAGTAGTAGCTGAGGAAAAATTAAAAATTTTACTCATTCTCGCTTCCTGATCAAAATCTTGCATGTAACTTTTAATCATCACCGTTTTTGCAGTACCTTGTTCTCCGATTAATAGAACATTTTTTTCTTGGCTTGCAATCAACGATATCAGAAATATGGTACGAACGTTGTCCAAATTTGACACCAATATATCACCGTACACAGGTATATAGTCATTGGGGTAAATGTATTCGTCTATAACTGTTCCCCAATGTTGCCATTCACCATTTGATGAAATGGTAAACTCATAAATCGATTCACCCTCCTAAAAAAAAAAAAAAAAAAATAAATAAATAAATAAATCATATTCATAATCATTTTAAAATAAATAAACTATTTATTATATTACTTTTAGTTTAGGTACATCAACTTTTCCTTTTAGGTCTGTTCTAATGAAATATTCGAGTAATTGTCTATCAGATGATTCTAAAACAGCTGCAACACTCCACATTATTGCAAAAGTATAACAACATGACAATATTTTTTCTGACAAATCTAGAGAAATAATGTTTATTTTATTATTTTTGTTTGTGTTACAACTGGTTTATATTGACATAAAGTTTCAGGAAACATGTTTAAAAGTCCATCCAGAATATCACACGTTTGATGAATATAATGAGCATCCAACAAATTCATTTTGGGATTCAGGCTAGATTGTAGCACTTTCAACAGTTCGTCGTAAGTATTATTAAATACATTTTGAAAGTATTTGAATACGTAATCAGGTTTGCTTTTACTCCATCCCTGAAATACAACAAATTATTCATGGAAACCATTTTGTTCGATTCGAGCACAATGAGCCAACAACTCAGCATGTAGAACAACATACATTTCGTTAGTAAAAAATATATTTAATATGAAAACACACTGTGTTTAATAGTAATTAATAATTATTATAACTAGTACACTTACATAAAATGATGAGTAACGAATTAATCAATTTTAAGAAGTTATTCAATAATTGAATTATTCGATAGGTGACACGAGTTGTATTACGTACGATTTAATTAATGATATATATATATATATATATTCAATATTAAAATCTATACGATATTTTAGAGCATTGTATTTAATACAGAACTCTTGTTTATACTTAATTCCAGCCAAATAATGTTGGTTATAAAAAAAAAAAAAATATCATTTACTTCAAATATCGTTTTCCATGGTAATACGGTAGATGAGAAAAATGTCATTCCCATTCTAGATATCGTAGCCGGGGAAGCATTGTCGACATTATCTGGTTCAAAACAAAGCTTGGCATTTGCAGCCATTACGATTCTATCGCCGTTTGCTAATGTAAGCGTTTTATTGTCATCCAAAACAGAATTCAAATTTTCAATCCACACTGCATCGACAGGCCCATCCAATACAATCCAACAATATTCGTTTGACTTAAACTGGGATCATATCAAATCGTTTACACATAAAACAGTAATATTATATCCAATAACAGTGGCGTGCGCAAGAATTTGGAATGGGGGGGGGGGGTGTTGTCATAAATAAAAATGCATTATTCTCGATCTTTATTCTTTATTATTATATAAAAAAAATGCAATCAAAGCGGAAATTCATCCTTCTGGTTTTTACATTAAATTCATAATTTTTTTTTTTTCTGTAGATAATGGAATGTATCGAAGTATGTTCATTACGCCAATCAATTTAACCGTGACTGTCCCGCCGTATTTCTTAAATACGTTTTTAAACGTTTAAGACTAAAAAAAAATTGCCTATACGAGATATACCTTCCATCATCCCCCCCTGCGCACACCACTGCCCAATAATATACTAAATTAACGGTAATTCCAAATAAAGTAAAATACTTTTAATGTTCTTCTCCACAACGTTGAAAATATACCGTCTGTCCAATCATTAGTGGCTACATCAAGCCTTCCAAACATCTGTGATGCTGTTATGGCTTTAGGATTCATCCGAAGCTCAAAATGCGACATACCCGTTTTGGTTAAAGCTGATAAAAGACAATGGATAGCAGTGGTTTTACCTGATCCAGTTGGTCCTAATATCATTAACCCATGACGTACTAATGATGTTTCATAAACCTATAAACACGAATATGTATAATGGATATTTCTTAAACTAACCAAGTCACTAATATATAAACACAAATGTACTTGAACGATTTTCAGATTCCAGGTAGGATTATTAATCAATGAAAGCTCAGTGCACGATCTCTTTATGGCCAATTGTAATTCTTTATAAGATGATGAAGTTGATCTCATACCAACAAATAAATCCTCGATTAATGATAAAAATATCGTTTCGTCTTGATCGACCAACTTTGAAACATTCATTCCCTTTAAAACTCTCATAAGTATGGTTTCTTCCGATTCATTTGGGTTACTTCTTCTTTGTGTACCAAGTGTTCGTAAAACGGCCAATATATTTCGTAGACCAAAATCGTAATGCACCTGTTTACTTAATTGCTCTTCACACAGTTGATATAATATAAAAAATTTTTTAGATAATATTATATTATTTTTAAATCCACATGCTGCTAATTTTACTCGTATTATTATCTGAAAATTATTATGCCACAAGTTAATATTCCATGTATATTGAAGTAAATCAAAGATTCGAACTCAATGTTATTGATTTTATGTGTTAGGCTTAAATGCACTTATTTCATATCAACTACTTACGATAGATTATAAATATCCCATTAAAAAATTAATTAAAAATTGACATCAATCAAAACTCTGGACACTCAATCTTATAATACATTTGGTATATATTTATTGCGAGTAATAATCTTAAAAGGCAATATAATATTATTTACCAAACGGTCGGGAACCATCATAGCAACACTTCTAAAAAGTACTTTCAGGTTTTCTGGTAGTTCTTGACGACCTGCATAACCAGGATTCATCGTCAGAAATATGGCAAACTCTGAGTTCATAGGGACTTTGTCTCCGTCACTAATGAATGAGAAAAAACAAAATACAATCTCAATCTTATATACCATTAAATATACTCATATAACTCACCTGAAAGTGAATACTTCTCTTCTATATTTACGAGCACTAAACACTATATATATCTGCTGAGCAGCTACTGAAAGCACGGGTAATTCAATGCGGTTAAACTCATCAAAACAACCCCATGTCCCTGAATGCACCAAGCCTTTGAAAATCCGGCCTAACCCTCGGTAATCCATTTGATCAGAACAATTGAACACTACCACATATTTTCCTAGAGACTTTCCCATGTCTTTTGTTGTTTCGGTTTTTCCAGTACCCGCTGGTCCGGCAGGCGCTCCACCCATATTCATTCCTGTGGAGCAACCCAATGTATTTAATGATTATTCCTTCAATTTTAGACCATAGATTCGATGGTATATTATTGTGACGATCGTTGTTGAGGATTACATACCAACAGCCTGGGCCAAAGTAATGTAACAGCGATCGGTCAGTGGTGTGATTACAAGCCTATCCGAACAGCCTAAGAATTCGTTCTGGTATACGAAAAGTACATCGGTTATGTACACTTCGACCTGGTCTAACTCTTCGTTAAAATAAAAACGTTCTTGTTTTAACCATTCGAAATCCGATAAGCTTGTAATTTTCATACGATACAGAACTTCGAAAATATCTCTAATACAATAGATACAATTTAATATAAATATATTTTAATTCGTAGGTAATTATTATCATTCCAAAAAGATTTAGTATTTAAAATCCCTAGGTGTAATAAACAACTCATTAACCGATTACTTTTAATTAGTAAATTATTTTAGATATCCTACATGTAAATTTAACCAATTCGAACCTTTGGTGAACGTGTATAGTAATCAAAGATTCGTATTTTAGTCGTTCCATTTTTGTCAAATTCTTGGTAGTACAATCAATGAGCATATTGAGGATTTTAATAAAATGATTATTAGTGTCTCTCATGATTTTTTTCACGATGGTTGAATTTTTAATTGCATTTTCCGTGTGACTTGTCCATAACATTTGTATACCAACCAGGCCCATCTATAGCAATTATTTAAATATAGTATCATATTTAATATTAACAGTAAAGAATATTATATACTTGTGAAGGAAATTGATTGATCATTGTCAGAACCGAAAATGTTGGATCTTTTACAATATAGCTTTCTACATTCGCTATAATTTGATTTACGGTGTATTTGGTTTCTTTAAGTAGAACATTAAGCCAATTTTCTACTCCTCCTACGCATAACACATGATTTTCTAATACTATTCCTTCACCTTCTTTGGATACAATCTCTAACGATTTGTCATATTCGGTCCGACTAAATATTAATTTGGCAGTGTTATCAAAAAGACTCAAAAGATGAGGTTGGATAGCATGAGAATTCGAAGCTTGGCCGAGGATTTCCAAAAGTACTGGATCCGATATGAAGTAAAATCTTGAAAATATATATCTTTTTTTGTCCAAATATCTAACAAATGAATTTTTATATGTATATTAATAATATTTGATGTATTTTATGTATTTAAATAACTCTTATAATGGTATTTCACGAAAATAATAATAATGTATAATATTAATTTACAACCGTGAAATAATATATTGTGCACCATTAATACAATCTATAATATTTGTAAAATACTGTATGTAATATAATATTTTAATTTATTTCGTAATACCCTGCTAATGATTTTTGACATAACTCCAACTGTTCGTACATGTATGGTAAAAATATTTCCATTGTTCCATCATCAGTACAAATTTCAATTATATTTTCGACAAATCGAGCTTTATTCATTATTTGGACCCATAATTTATCGACAGCCTAATTATTAATAATGTAAGTTCATTAAAATTATTATTTATGTAACTAAATACTTTACCGTAAAACGTTTAGTTTCAAGGGGAAGTTGCTTAGAAATATCCCCTCCCACAAAAACAGCTTCTAAATACATCCAAAGGTTTTGTACAAGTATCCAATTTTCTAAAACTTGGCTAGTTACGGAGAATTTTTTTACCCAGTCCATTATTTCCGATTTAAACGCAATATTATATCTACAATATTTCAATATTCAATTAAAATCTCTTAATATTAAAAACTAATTAAATTTTTGTTTTTGCAATATTCATTATGTCAATAAATATTTATGTTAAAAATATTTTAAACAGGGCTCGTAAGTTTGCATATCAATCTTGCAAAATTGTATTTAATGCCAGATGACATAGAAATCCATTTCAAGGTACCACGGTTAAATATGTGAAATCCTTTTTTGCATGTTTCTGCAAATATTGCATGTTTTTGTATATTTAGCATATTTATACATATTTCTATTTTATTGGTCATATTATACAACATTCTATTAGAATCTATCAAAAATCTAAATGGAAAATATATATACAATTAAAAATAGAAATTGTATTATCTTTTCTTTCCTTATCTTCTTGATACTCGTACATTTAATGAATACGTTTACATTTGTTTCAAAAGTTTCAGATTTAAAATGAATTACTGTATTAAATAGTATTTAAAATCTATTTTTTTTAATTGTGACATAAAAAATAAAATATGTTTTTAAAAAAAATGAATGGATAATTCATGTTATTTCAAAAATTATTTATGATTTTTTTAAGTAAGCATTTTTTAAGTGCATAATTTTAGATATTTAGTGCATAAAATGCATATTTTTTAACTTATAGCATATTTCAAAGCATATTTTGCCAACTTTAGTGCATTAATACATGCTTATTTAGGCATTTTTTAGAGCATGAACTTACGAACCCTGATTATAAACATAAAATATAAGATTTTATTCAACCAATGCGTTACCTATTGGATGCTAAAGAACTCATTATCATTTGACTGTCTTCCAACATATTAACAACTTCTGCTAACTCCTGTCCTTTTACAAGTAATAGTCCTCTATTTTTAAATGTACTCAATTCTACTTTAATAGTGGACCAATCCATTATTATTTGTCTCAATTTCGCTTCAATATCTATTTCTTTGATCGCCGTTTGGCATATGTCTTCTATTTCATCTTTGTTCTCCAATAAAGGGGCTGTCATAATATTCTTCAGCGTAAAATCACTTTCACTGACATTCAATTCTGTATTAGTTACTTTTTCTAACATTTTCCAATGCCTCTCTTTTAGTCCGTTTTTAGACATCATTTCTATTAATATAATTTTTCCAGTCCACTCATCGATTTTATCTTTTAATTCATTAAATGCTGGCCATGATCTTAAACTTTTAGGAAGTCTACGACATTTATTGGCATAATCTACTAAGGTATCAATTATTTCATTTATTTTTAAACGATTCCATGGTATCTTCAACCAGATCTCAATGGAATAGTTCATTGTACTAAATAGGCCGTATAGTTTTTTTAGCAAGTTGAAAACTCGTCTAATTTCATCCATAGAAGGATATATAGTCACTGGTGTTTTGAATAAACGTTCGCCATCTTGGTAACGTTCCACTAACGAAACTAATTCTTCAAAACGGTCTTGAAATAGAAAAACCCTAAATATAAAAATAATTATATGAAAACAAACATCTTAATATGCCAACTAAAAAAATGTGTAAATAATATTTATAATATAATAATTATTGTAAAACAATTTTAATACCTTTCACTGGCCTCCGAAGGCAATAAATCCTCGACCATAGGACCTTTTTCGTAAAACTGTTTTTCATAAACCATTATATCTAATTTTAATTGTTCAATGCCCTCGATTAATTCTATTCTCAGTGAACCATAAATATCTAACAATCTTTGGGGTACTTCATATCTCTAAAATATAACATATTAATAGTAATTTATCGCGGTAATGATATTTTCTCCTAATATCACTTTAATATTGAGTTTTTTATATTGGTCGGTGAGAAGATTCAGTTTCCTTTCATCTTCAGGTAGGATCGAAACTTTATTTTCAATTAATAAGTCGTACACGTTTAAAGTATCTTCTATATCATTGTCTAAATCTGTCAGATTGATTTCGATTTCATCTAAACAAAGTATAACTCTTCTAGCATCGACTAAATCATTGATTGGTAATGCAAGTATATCATATTTTTCAGCCGTATAAGTATAAAGGTATTTCAGTTTAGATGATTCTAACAAAGCATTGGTGAATAAAATTTGCCATTTATTTATTTCGTTATTTATAGATTTTTTGAAATCGTCTAAGAAAAAATAAATAAATTCAAACGAAAAAAATATTAAACATTAAAAATTAAAAATATTAAAAAAAATTTAAAGCCAAAATTATAATTATTACCAAAGTTAATTTCAAGTAGTCCAATTACTATAGTTGAAAGTTCATCATCAATATCTTTGGCTATTGAGTTCATATTATCAAATTCAAGACGAATATCAGCCAGTTTCATTTTTTTTCCCAATCGCTCATTTATTTTTAAAATTTTTTTAGAATCTTTGATTAATAAATTTTTAAATTTAGATTTGTATTTCTGGGTAATAATGTATTATTTTATATGTATGCTGTTTTAATAAGGTAATGGTAATAATTAAATAACAAATAATTACGGCTAAAATAAGTCTGATTTCTGTTTTTAATGGTTTAGCTGAATATTGTAGATCTTTTACAGTGCTACGCACAGATTTTGATTTGATTATATTTTTATCATAGTAATAATTGTAGTCCTACATACCACAATTCATTAATAAATAATAATTAAACATCACGCATGTCTAATTGAAAAATAATTTAATATTTTTCATTACTGTTATATGATTGAAACCCCAACGGGTTAATGTTGTTGTCGCGTTTAAAATAAATTTAATTATATTCGTTATAATCTTGTTGATATTTTTCCATGACGGTTCAATTTCTATGTTCAAGTTTTTCACGACCAACCGGGTTTTAATTATTGGTGGCAAATTGAGCTGTTTTTTACTATATTTTAAAATAATATTGCATCATATTATAGTTCATCATTTCTAATTGATTAAAGAAATTAGTTAAATAAAAACACACTCGTAATAGAAAATTTGTTGCGACAATAAAACAAATGTGCTCCTTGTCGCATCGATCAGGGCATTCGTGAACATATAGTTATAGTACCGAAAAACAGCCATACACCACTCGTCAACCTGTTCACTTGTCGGGTGAATGGCTGAAGAAATTGTTTCTATATATGTGCAAAACACATGATTATAGAAATATGATATAATTTCTAACTAAAGTACATAGCAATTCAAATAAACCCACCTTTATGCGTGATTTCTACGTCGGTATCCCTGACATTTTCTAAAGCTTTTGCGATATTGAAAAAGTCATACAGCTTATTATTATCTTTGACTGAGTATTTATCCTTTATTCTATAAAGAATAAGTTGAATTATATACTGAAATAAATTTTCTAAGTCTAAAGATTTTTTTTTTATTATTTTCATTGTTTCTTTTATATGTGTTTCGTTGAGTGTTAAAAATTCTTGAGGAGTCATTGTTTTGTTTGGTAATTTAATTAATATGCATTTGTTTATGTACTGAATTTCTTGTCGTAATATTTCATCCATATCAACTATCTAAAATTATATTTTTACATACATTAAACAAATATAATCTGTTGGTAATTTAGATAAAACATGAAGGTATTTATCATACTGTTTTTATAAATCCTTCAGAGTAATCAAAACTTTTGGTTATTCCCAATAATATTTCCATTGCCCCAGTCGATGACCATTTCGTAACATTTAAAATTGGAATCAGTGCTCTATCCATTTTCATAATTTCCAAATTAATCAAATCACAATATATGTCTGGTACCATTTGTCTTTTGATACAGATCAATAATTAGGTTTTTGAATGTTTGCACGAAAACAAACTTTGCTTACCTTATTCGATCGTATCGCAACACGATTGATTCAGAGTACATATATCTTTTATACATCATTTCTTTACGTTGTAACTTAAACTGCAGTCTATGTGGTATGGGAAGATATTTATACATCATGATTTGAGCGATATCGATTTGTTCAATAATAAATATTGAAAAGTTGCTTTTATATTTCCTGGTGATTGGATCTCTAATCAGTAATGGACCACTCTTAGAGCTGTTGTTCTATAAGAATTTGTTTTGAAAATCAACACACCAAGTTAAAGCTAGTACTCACCTTATCAATGATCTGCTGATACCACATTGAATTTAACGCTAGCTCGTGATTTCTGAGATCATTACATAAAGAATTGTATGAATTTAAATCCATCGACTGTAATATCGGGTAATTTCTCTAAAAATTAAACGTGATCAATAAGTGTATAGAAAATCATCTAAATACAAATTTGAAAGGATTAAATATTGAGTTAAAGAAGTTTTTGTAATGAAATCATTCACAATAAAAAGAAGTATTAAAAATATTTATATGTCAATACATTATTGTGCTCGTAAGTCATATAATCTTAATAATAATAATATAATCTAATCTAATATAATATAATCTTATATTGAAAACTAAAACATTGAAAAAATTTAAGAAAATAATACATCAAATATTTAAGTAATTATTTTGAAATTCAAATTAAAGTATCTAAAATTACTATGGAACAATATAGAACATGTTAGATAATCATCTGTTATCTCACTTTTTAAATACCGTCTAAATTTTCGTTTTTACATTCACAAGTAATTTTTTTTTATAATTTTACCTTAAAATATTTCATCGGCGTTTCAATTTTTTCATGTATCATTGATATCCACATTATTTGACCACAAATTATGGGTAAATTGTATGAGATTGGTACTTTATTTTTATAATCCGAGTATATTTTTTTATAGTCTAAAATAAATTTAAATATAAATGTACATCAAATTTGTACCAAAAAACATAATCAAGATTTCAGCTATTGAAAACATAATTTACAAGTGTTCAGATCTTTCGATGTTTTAATGTACAACTTTTCCAAATCCAAACCAGTCAAACTTAATTGTTCGCACTTCTTTAGTAGTTCAATTTTATATTCAAAATCAGGTGCCTCATCAATCACTGTCTTAAGGTGCATTTTCAAACGAATTCTATACTGCTTAATATAGATGTCAAACATTGCACTATCTTTATCAAAAGCTTGATCATCAGTTATTTTTAAAATATTTTTCCTTTTTTCAGTGAATGTCAAAAAAATATTTTTAAGTTCTGCATGAAACTCATAAATCCCTGGGACGGTTGACATTTTTAGTCGTCTATAGGTATAATATGTCTCTATAATGTTCTTCAACTACAAAATAAAATTACACATTTTAGTTACCTATTTATGTAAATTGTATTATACAAGCGTTCAATACGTCATGTGCAAAAATTAAATAAAATCGTTGTTGATTACATAATGCATGGTTTAGTAACTGATTAAGTGATAACATAAGTTAAATAACAAGGGATTTATGATCCAATCATTTTTTTATAGAACTGTTTAAATACTAAAACTGATGGTACACAAGCGATCATAATAAAATGGTGGAATAGAATTTGTTCATCAACAAATTTAGTAACAATTGCATCAAAAATTTTACAATGTCCACCTATCACTGCTTCGACAGAGAGATCTTTTTTAACTTACGGACTAGCGTATACAGAGCATACTAAGAGGATATATGAATAACAGAAAGAGCTTCTAAATTAGTGTATATGTTACCGGCAAAGTGTTGAATCTGGCATCCTATAGAATGCCAAAAATGAACAAGAAAAGTATAAAATAATATAATGACTATATTATATACTATACTATATGATATAATGACTAGGTATTCTATAGAATACCAAACCTCAAGCAGGCAATGTATATAATTGACATGTAATTATATTTTAGTGAGTATATTTATATTTTACACACATTTATATGTTCGAAAATCATATTTAATATATTACAGATAAGTTGCTTATCATGCCATTTTGTGATGGATTTAATTAAATCCAAGTTTCAATTCAGTGTTTGATTTCTTGTTAAACAAAGATGTCTGAACGATTTCATACCGAATTTAATAAAACCAGAAAAAGTTCTAAAAATACTGTTTTTCTGTCAAATGAGAAATACGATGAAGTATTACATGAAGTTTCTCTACTTAAAAATGGTCAGAAAAAAAAGAAAACAACACGCGATTATTGGATGCTTCAAAGGTATTTATCTATTTTTACCAAATTATTAGCCATATATTACAATTTTATTGGCAATTTATACATTTTCTTATTTTCTTTATTTTTGGTTTTTATAGGATACGATATTTTAGTTACACAGCAAAATAGGAAATTAATTTTTCCTGAAAGTGGAGAAGGCAAAGTATTATTTTACGTTAATAAGGGCGAACTATGTGAAATTCTAAAAGCTAGATAGTACATAATTCTATTGGTCATGGTGGCCGTGACAGAATGATTTCTGAACCTTCTTTAAAATATAAAAATATAACTCGGAGTGATATAGAAGTTTTCTTTCAATTATGCGAACCGTGACAACAGAAACAGAAAGGCATAAAAAAGAAGAGTAGTAGTCAAACCTATTATT